CTTGATGATCTTAAATGTCTTTTCCAACCTAAAGTATTCTTTTAATATATGATTCTATGACACCATTTTCTTTTGGCAGGTTACAGTCTCCTTATAGTTCTCAGGAAAAAAATGGCCCACTTTCTTACTTATAGAATGGTAATTCTTTTGAAAGATGTCATCCTTCTAATTCCCTGGAGACCTCAAACTGCTGGGTAGGCTTGCACAGCCACCAATTAGTTGGGGTGACCGTCAGGGCTGCAGCCTAAGCCTGCAGGTGAGCAGAGCAGGCAGCAGCTCAACAGCTGACAGAGTGTGCTGCCCTTTTCGTGCAAACTGCTGACACCACTCCCAACCGACGTCACAGTGTTGGCCTTTAGCGCTACCTAGCGGCCGGTTATATGCGGCTTCCCGGGTTTGAACTGGACATTGGGACCGCCAGCACTGCCCAACTCTTGCCCGACCCTCTCGCAAGACCTGTCGCCTGCCGGCCGGGCTCTCCACAGCCACAGCCCAAGGGTGTCAGAAACCCACTCATACCCCTGTCAACCTCACAGGTGTCCTCAAACTACATCTTGTTTTATTTCTTTTTAATGATTAATGTTCTTGTTATTAGTCTGTAGAAGCTGCTTGGTGAAGTATTTGGAGGAAAACAACACCTGTCCAACATGTCGGATTGTTATACACCAGAGCCATCCATTACAGTATATTGGGTAAGTGTGCAGTATGAAAGGAAAAGCACAACTAGTTACTCTCTGGGCTGTACGAACATCTCATATACAGCACAATTTCTCTCTACATTTTTTATTTGCTTATCAATATTTTAAATATATATAAAGAAGCTTGATTAGAAGATAGAAGATTTATATAAAAGAGGTAAGGTATTGAATTCTGCTGTGAATTTGCAATTCTTTTGAAGCAAATCCTTTTCTCTTGAATCAGACAAGCACAATAGACTTTATTGTTTAATTCCTGAGTGAAGTTTAATGAGCTTTAGTCATTTCCTGTTTTGTATGCTTGGATCATAAAGGTTGCACATATGGAACGCCTACATGAATTACACTTGTATTAAATCTTCAGAACAATGACTGGCAGTTGGACAGTGGTTTTCAGTGACTGAGAGGGTGTGTTCAAAGACTTTGCAAATACACAGCATTATTGGTGATTTAGTCTTTCAAAGAACTGTTTAGTTCATAGGTGCAGATGAGAAAGTTGGTAGCAGAAAAGTTATAGTGGCTTCAACATCTTGAATGGAACAGCCTCTGAAATATTTGTGCCTACTTCTTTCCATTCCCATACAGGGCTCCCTTACTGTGTGACCTAAAATGAACGGGGTGTTGTACCATAATTTCCTTCTTTTTCAGTGTATTTTCTGTTTATTTGTACATTACCTTTCTTTTTCTTCAACAGTTTCCTCTCATTTTAAACATTTCAAAGGTATCAGTCAAATGTTTATACCACCTGACTTGGCCGGATGTCCTGGTTTCTGCTGGAATAGAGTTAATTTTCTTCCTAGTAGCTGACATAGTGTTTTGTTTTGGATTTAGGATGAAAAGAATGTTGATAACACAGTGATGTTTTAGTTGTTGCTGAGCAGTGCTTACATTAGTCAAGGACTTTTCAGCTTCCCATGCTCTGCCAGGTGCACAAGAAGCTGGGAGGGGGCACAGCCAGGACAGCTGACCCAGGCTGGCCAAAGGGCTATTCCATACCATATGATGTCATGCCCAGTATATAAACTGGAGGGAGTTGGCTGGGGGGCAGCGATCGCTGCTCGGGGACGGGCTGGGCATCATTCAGTGGGTGGTAAGCAATTGCATTGTGCATCACTTGCTTTGTATATTATTATTATTACTACTACTACTACTATTATTTTACTTTATTTTACTTCAATTATTAAACTCTTCTTATCTCAACCCACGAGTTTTTCTCCCTTTCACCCTTCCGATTCTCTCCCCCATTCCACTGGGGAGAGGGGAGTGAGTGAGCAGCTGTGTGGTGCTTAGTTGGTGGCTGGGGTTAAACCATGACACCAGATCTGCACTAGAGATTTGTACCATAACAACTTTCATTGATAGAAATGTATTGAGACAGTGTGTTAGTATTACAGATAGCTGCTGTATTTTGTGTAGACTCTTGTCTACCTCCATGCAAAGTTTCTTTTCATTTGTGGCACTGCTTCAAATGTGCATGTCTCAGTTCTAGTGCAGCTTTTGAAGAAGTGGCTATAGATAATGAATTTGATTGTTTCTCCACTTTCACTGAGAATTGTGCATGTCCTATAAAAACTTTCTGAATTGCTCAAAACTGAGTCCCCTTCAGGAGTCAGAAATAAGATAGGTTTTTCTTATACTTTCCGAGAATGATGTAGAGATTGTATTAGAGTGTATTTTGAAATATGACAAAACAGTAATGATAAATCCATGCCAGTAGGCAAGAAGAAACAAACGGCACTTAAGACAATATGGTTGTCCTCTGTAAAGCTACAGGAATACATCTGTGTATTGGTTCAGAAGCCTGTTTTCAATGCTAAGAGAGGCCTGGGAGCATAGCCTCAAATTGAGTAGTTAGAAGTGGATTTGACAGTTGTTTGTGGACACTGAATGCACAGTATTATGTCTTTTTAAAAATTGATCCCCTTCTTCAGTCTAGGTTCTTTGCTCTACTGCTTGGAAAAATGAAGATGCCCTCCTAGAGAAGTATTTTCCTGAGCTAGTTACAAAATACTGCCCCATAAAGATCGAAACAGATAGCCTTTGTCCAACCTGCTTTTGGAAGTCTGTGGTTTCTTCAATAGAGAATTAATAGGGAGGAACTTTGCATTATGCCTTAGTTACAAGAATCTGTCATCTAATTCATCCCCATCCATCTGGGGAATAGGTAAAACAAACACATCTCATATTTCATCATTAAGAATGCTGTTAAATTCTCTGTTCTCATGCTGGTGGCTAAAATCATTCATTTAGATTGAAATGTTTTTGGAGATGTTCCTGCAATCTGTAAATGACATTTAAAAATCCTAACCTGAGAGTCAAAGCTGGAATTTGGTATTGTAAACTCTTGTGGGGTTAATGCCCCAGTAGCAGCTGAGGCTGACATTTTAGCTTGTATTGGATTTTATTTATAGTTTGGAAGTCAGGGTAATGTTCTGGTCCTTTCAGGCAATGACTTGTTTTAGAGTAATCCAGGAAATGGCAGCTCGTAGTTGAACTTTGGTTGAAAACATCAGTGTTTAGAATCTTAACCAGTCCTGCTTCCCCACCATTTCCTTCCTTATGTGCTGGATCAGTCTGTCTTTTTTTGTTCCACCCTTTTTAGCTAGATGGGATTATGAGCTACGTGATGTTGCTCTTGGGTAAAATGCTGGATTATAAGAGCAAACACAAATTTTCTTTCCTTTGTTCTCTTTGTTCTTATCTTTTTTTCCCCTATAGGCTTTTTTCCTCCTGTTTTTTAAAAAGCCCAGTATGGATAACTAAACAACCTAGCAACATGAGAGATTAATTAAAAGGGATAAGGAACAGTCTAGTTTCTAGAAACAGAAAAGTGTCTAGTGTCTAGAAACAGAAAAGAAAAAAATGCTTTTGTCAAAATTTGCAAGGAATTTTGAGAGTTATGTTACTGATACACATGCAGGTATATGGCATCTCTCACAGGATGCCATCCTTCACGTCATAAAGACCATCCTTCCTAGCATTTCTGTTAAACTTTTGTCAATTTAACTTTTGTCGGTTCTTGTCTTAGCCTGAACCGTATCTGCATTCCTTTCTTGTTACTGTTATCTCATGTTTGATATTTCAGTTATCCAAGATAAATATTTTTATTTCTTACCAGACTTCAGAGGTTTGCAGAGTCAATTTAATACTGAATCTCTTTAAGAGAAATGTTTTGAATCAAGATGGCTAATTTAAACCTTCAATTTTTCTTTTTTTCCCTGCTAGTCATGATAGAACAATGCAAGATATTGTTTACAAGCTTGTGCCAGGCCTCCAAGAAGGTAAGTTTTCTGGTATGACCTATTTTTACTGAATGTTAGGTTTACACATAGTTCCTTTACATTAACGAAAGGAGGAAGTGAGGAAAATGTTCATGGGGGGATGAAAAATACTGTCTTCACTTGTTCCAGTTCTAGCACTACTTTTCCGCTATACTTCAGTGCTTTTTTTAATTTTAGACTTGTACTAGCAGTGTTACTGAAAAAAATTCAGAAATTAAAATGCTGGTGTTATTTCAGGGAAAAGTAACATTATCTAAACCTAAATAGCACTACAACTTTTTCGTGTTGGCATTCTATAATTTGCATACATTCTTCTTTAATAAACTGTGTACATATTCATGTCTTTTTTGACAGCTTTGCAGAGTTCTCAGAGGTAGAATACTGATGTAGCATAACTTTTAGTTTCAGTGAATTTTTCTTCTCCTAAGATGTACTTAAATCCTTTGCTAGCAGGTACCTTTGCATTTGTGTTCTTATAATTTACTTTGATAATGAATCTGTTGAACTAAAGGAATGCTTTATAGCAATTGTTCAGTATTATTTTTCAGTGGTGTGTTGCTACTTTTATTTAAGTAGGATATTTCAGTTCAATTAAGCTGTCAAGTGAGGACATTATCGGACATTTATAAGCAAGTTTAGGTAAACATATTATTTTAAAATTATTTCTAGGATATTGAAAATCAGAAATATGGATAAAAATTCAAAACCGATATTTTGACAGAAATATTGAAGGGAGAAAACACAAAGTATAGTATAGTATTTAAAATTTATTTTATATGTAATAACAGAATGGTGTAATAATAGCTCTGCAAATGACTTGGTAGTATTCTGACTCTCGAGAATAAGATCTGGGGTAACTTGATTATGGCAACAAGAGTAGAGAAACAGCAAAAAGTGCAAATACCACTTCCTGCCTGACAAGCTGCTTATACAGAACAGAGGAGGGTTTTGGAATACCTTGATAAATATTGTGCTAGAACATTGCATAACTAATATTTAAAATTTTAAACAGCGGAAATGAAAAAGCAGAGGGAATTCTATCACAAACTGGGTATGGAAGTACCAGGGGACATCAAAGGGGAGACATGCTCTGCAAAGCAACATCTAGATTCACATCGCAATGGTAAATGGTCTTATGTTTATTCTGTCTTGGGATGGGGGTGCAGACTGCCATTAAGCTGTTGAAAAGATCTGTCAGAGGTAGGTGTCTAGCTAATATTTATTAGCACTCATAATTGTTGTATAATATTGTACAAGGCTTGCTTGTGCTTATATATTGGACTATATACAAGAACTCACCACTTTGAACTCACCATCTAAGTGCAGTATTGTTTTGCATCACACTTGTTTATAGAATGTGTTCTTTTAGCTGGCTGTAATGTGTTCCTGGTGAAGATCTTCAGTAGTATCTATGTGGGAACTCTATGATAAGAAAAGGTTACTTTTTATCCCAGTCCTGAATTGCATTAACTTCAGAAACTGCTGATGTTAACTGTAATTTTGTGATAGAAATAGTGTGGTGGTTATACTTAAAATGTATGTGTGTATGTTTATCCAAGGGCAAAAGAATTCTCAAATTTGTGACTGTGAGGAGAGCATATCAGTTTTACAGAATAGTGAATGAGCCCTGACAAATTTGTAGCAAGGTGTCTTGAACTGATTTTTTGGGAAGCTTTGGATTAGCGTCCACATCTCTGCTACCAAGAACAAAGCTGCTTTCCAACTTTTTTCCTGGTTAGAAGAGAAGCTGATCATGCTCTGACAAGCCTAATTACTTAAAAAAACAAACCCAAACAAAAAAAACCCCACAGTTGCTTTTATAGTCTTGACTTTGTTTCAGGATTACCTGTCATCTGATATGTCTAATTTAATTATTGTAATGCTCTGCTTTCTTCTGAAAGGTGAAACTAAACCAGATGAAAGTTCAAACAAAGAAACTTCTGAAGAAAAACAGGAAGAAGATAATGACTATCATCGAAGTGATGAACAGGTGGGCTTACTTCTGATATAGGGCATTTCTTAGTTTTATTTTGTATTTCCACTTTAAATTATTATTTTTCTTTGAAACTTTTTTCCCTCTGACAGAGACAAGATACAGTGTGCTCCCATGCTTTTGTGTAAACTTGAGCTTCATCTTTTTTATTTAGGTAGCTGTGGAGAGATTTGGTTTTGAGAATTTCATTAAGGTTTGATAGTTATAACTATTTCTGAGTTTCCTGAGTATTGACTAAACTCTGTGTTGGCTTTCATCTCAACTACATTTCAAGTCACTTGGGCCCTTTATCTGAGAGTCTACTCCCATGCCACTCCAGTGCATCAGGATTGAATATGTTTCAATAATTAGAATGAAAAGTCTTTTTTTTTTACTTAGTATTTAGTGACAAGTTTTAAACACAAAACCTGTTTGAGTATGAAACTTGCTATTGGAATACACAAGTCACTGCCTTCATGTTTCCCTGCTAACTGTGTCCAAAGTAAATTAAATTTGGATAAATTTTCCATTTATTGATAGTACAATGGTAATATTCAGATGGATTGTGCTTTGTACCAGATCATATAAGTGCACAGAATAAAACTTATCCTAAAGAGCTTAGACTAAATAAAGAAAATAGATGATTGAGAAAAGAAGAGGGAATTGAAGCACAGAGATCAAAAGGCCATTTTTTCCCATATAATCTTTTGTATTTCAAAAATTTGTTACATCATCTGCATCAGTAAATTTTAAAGTTCAAAATATTTTTTTAAAACATGCCTTAAATATTAAACTGGGTTCAGAGGTTAGATTAGAAATAGTCATTAAAAAGTGATAATGGTTTTGTCAGGGAGCAACAAGGGCAGGCTGCTGCTCCATAGGGGCAGGCAAGCCAGGAGCCAAGAGTGACATCAAGGCAGTCAGGGCACTGACCTCACTAACAAGGGGTGCAGTCCCACAATACCTGAATAAGGAGAGCATAGCAGCTCTGGTGACAGTGACCAGATTCAGTCACAGTCCAGTGATCACCAGGTAAATCTTTAGTGATGAGGCAGGTCCAAGGTTAAGCCAGAAAGTGAAATCGGCAAGTCAAAGTCAGGTCCAGAGATGATAGTAACCAAGGTCATACACAGTCCAGTGATCACCAAGCCAAGTCCATAGTGATGAGACAGGTCCAAGGTTAAGCCAGGAAGTCTAATCTGTGGGTCAGGGTCTAGGCCAGGCATGGGCATGGCTGCAACATAGCTCATGCAGGGGGACCAACCAAGGGAGGGAGCTTCAGCTTAAATGATGCTGCTAAGTGGAGCAGAGTGAGCTCACACTGAAAATTCTTCAAGCTTTTTCTCAAACATCTCTTTCTACACAACAGTTTCATGGTCATACAGCTGCTTATCAAAATTGGCCCTGAGCTCAGGCAACCAAACTCCCAAGGGAGAGGGGAATGAGCTCAGGGTCCTGACAGGTTTTCATATTACATATCTCGCTTTGGCCTTGACCTAGGCTTCTTCTGAACTAGTTGTAACATCTGCACTTAGAATAAAGCTCTGGAACAAGGCAGCCCTAAAGTTCTGCCTTGAACTTTTGTCCAGATCCCTCTTGAGTTGAATGGTACTTAACAGTAAGCTGACAAATTACTAGACAGCCTTTTTTTTAATGACACTGCATTTCGCTTTAAAGAATACTGGTATTCTACATTTTCACCTTTTTGTTGGACTAATAAATGCTGCATGTGAAATGCGTAATGGGGACTGCAGAAAATTCTGTCAACTAGCCCTGACTGTGTTTGCTTTTTCCTGAAGGTAAGCATCTGCTTGGAATGCAATAGCAGCAAATTACGTGGATTGAAGCGAAAATGGATCCGCTGCTCAGCACAAGCAACAGTCTTGCATCTAAAGAAGTTCATTGCTAAAAAACTTAACCTTTCTTCTTTTAATGAGGTAATGTTTTAATGTTTAAAAATGATTTTGCAAATTAAAGTCTTATGGATTATTTTCAAAACAGTGTCTTTCCTTCCAACCAGATTTAAAAAAAAAACTGAAGCACACACTATTTCCTAATATAAAGGAACAGTAAATGGCTATTTGAGGAGCCGAATGCAGACAAATAGGTTTTTCTCCAAATTTACCTTCCCCCCTTTTAATTTAAGGATGCTGGTCATCTTCCCTTTTTTCTCCCCCTCCAATACAATGGAGATGTAGCTCTTACTGGTTCTTGGCTTTATACAGAGTTAGCAGTGCAGCTCAGTGAGTTGTTCCATGACAAGTTTTAAAACATACGAAAAGTCTTGGTTATGTGTTTTCCACCTGTGTTAAAACTGACTCCTGCAAGATGCTTTGTTTGGTGGCCTTAAATGAAGGGATACACTACCCTAGCAGAGATTTTTCACTCAATGCAGAGAATGGATTATAACACTTGGATACTTCTGAAAGACTGATTTAATGGAAAGCAGCACATATACTTTCTTCTGCTTCTCTGAGTGAAACTCAGCCTTGTGTAGTATCAGCTGGTGCCACCTTCCCTGCAGGGAATACATAATTGGACTGTTCGTGGGAAGAAATCATGGTGGAGGGTAAGGGAAGAAAGAGGCTTTTGTATCCTCTGCAAGTTCTGTCATTTCAGATTCTAAAACTAGAACACATAATGGCAGGCATGTGAAAACGCAGCCTCTGTTCCCTCTTTGTTGGTATTAGTCACAGTCCCCCTCCATCCAGTCTGACTCTCAAACTGCCATCTCTCAATCTTGAAAACTTCCAAGGACAGTGATGTCATGACCTCTTTGGGCAACTTCTTCAGGTTCTTAATTATCCTTGTAGAGATTTTTTTTCTCCTTATATCCAGTCAGAACTTCATCTGTTTACATTTATGATCATTGTCTCTCATTCTCCCACCATGCACCTCAGTAAAGAGCCTAGCTCTATCTTCTCTATAGGCTTCTCTTAGGTATTGGAAGGATGTAACTAGGTCCCCTTTAAGCCTTCTCTTCTCCAAGATAAATAGGCCCAGTTGCCTCAACCTCTCCTTATAGGGCCTGTGTTCAAGCACCCTGACTATATTGGTGACCCTCCGCTGAACTTGCTCAAGTTTATCAACATTTTTCTTGACCTGGAGGGGCCAAAACTGGATACAGCATTCCAGATGTGGTCGAATGAGTGCTTAGTAAATGGGAATAATCACTTGGAATCACAGAATCATAAAATGGAAGGTTGGAAGGGTTGGAAGGGACCTTCAAAGATCATCTAGTCCAACCCCCCTGCCATGGGCAGGGACATCTTTCACTAGATCAGGTTGCTCAAAGCCCCATCCAACCTGGCCTTGAACACTTCCAATGATGGGGCATCCACAACTACTCTGGGCAACCTGTTTCAGTGTCTCACCACCCTCATCGTAAAGAATTTCTTCCTTATATCCAATCAAAATCTAGCCTCTTTCAGTTTAAAACTGTTGTCCCTTGTCCTGTCACTACAGGCCCTGATAAAAAGTCTCTTGCCATCTTTCTTAGAAGCCCCCTTTATATATTGAAAGGCCGCAATAAGGTCTCCCTGCAGCCTTCTCTTCTCCAGGCTGAACAACCCCCAACTCTCTCAGCCTTTCCTCATAGGAGAGGTGTTCCAGCCCTCTGACCATTTTTGTGGCCCTCCTCTGGACCCACTCTAACAGGTCCATGTCTTTCCTGTGCTGAGGACTCCAGAGTTGGACACAGAACTCCAGCTGAGGTCTCATGAGAGCGGAGTAGAGGGACCTCCCTCGCCCTGCTGGCCACACTTCTTTTGATGCAGCCCAGGATACGATTAGCTTTCTGGGTGCAAGCATGCATTGCTGGCTTATGTCAAGTTTTTCATCCACCAGTATATCCCCAAGTCTTTCTCCTCAGGGCTGCTCTCAATCCCTTCATCCCCCAGTCTGTATTGATACTGGGAATTGCCCTGACCCAGGTGCATGAATTTACACTTGGCCTTGTTGAACTTCATGAGGTTCACATGGGCCCACTCCTCAAGCCTCTCAAGGTCCCTCTGGATGGCAGCCCTTCCCTCTAGTGAATCAACTGCACCACTCAGCTTGGCGTCATCTGCAAACTTGATGAGGGTGCACTCAGTCCCACTGTCTATGTCGTTGATGAAGATATTAAATAGTATTGGTCCCAGTACGGACCCTTGAGGGACACCACTCATGACTGGTTTCCACTTGGACGCTGAGCTGTTGACTGTAACTCTTTGGACGCGGCCATCCAGCCAGTTCCTTATCCACCTAACAGTCCGTCCATCCATCAAACCCATATCTCTCCAATTTCGACGCAAGAATGTTGTGGGGGACCATATCAAAGGCCTTACAGAAGTCCAGATAGATGACGTCCATAGCTCTTCCCTTGTCCACTGATGCAGTCACTCCATCGTAGAAGACCACCAGATTAGTCAGGCTCTTTTTCCAGTCACTTTTTCCAGTCACTGGGGACTTCACCTGACTGCCATGACTTCTCAAATATCACGGAGAGTGCCTTGGCAACTACATCAGCAAGTTCCCTCAGGACTCTGGGATGCATCTCGTCAGGTCCCATAGACTTATGTATGTTCAGGTTCCTCAGGTGGTCTCGAACCTGATCTTCTCCTATGAAGGGAGGAACTTCATTCCCCTAGTCCCTGCCTTGAGGTTCAGGGGCTCGAGAGATGTGGGAAGAGAGATTACCATTGAAAACTGAGGCAAAAAAGTTGTTGATTACCTCAGCCTTCTCCATGTTGGTTGTCACCAGTTTTCCTGTCTTATTTATTGGCGGGAGTACATTTTCTTTAATCTTCCTTTTCTGGCCAATGTACCTGTAGAAGACCTTTTTATTATTCTTCACATCCCTTGCCAAAATCAGATCCAACTGTGCCTTAGCTTTCATGGTCCCACGCCTATGCATCCGGGCAGCGTCCCTATATTCTTCCCAGGATGCATGTCCCTGGTTCCGCTGCCTACGCATTTCCCTCTTGTGTTTTAGTTTGACCAGGCGGTCCTTACTCAGCCATGCCGGTCTCCTGCCTTCCTTGCTTGATTTCTTACACGTGGGAATTGATAGTTCTTGTGCTCTAAGAAAAATGTCCTTGAAGACCTGTCAGCTCTGTTCAGCTCCTTTGTCCCTGGCTGTTTGTCTCCTCCTTGAACCCTGTGTCTAGGCACAAAAAGGCCTGGGAGACCTTGTTGGTGAAAACCAAGGCAAAGAAGGCATTGAGTACCTCAACCTTATCTGCAGACACTGTCGCTAAATTGTCCACCTCATGCAGCAGTGGGCTCACATTTTCCTTGTTTATTCTTTTATTGATAATGTAGCAGTAGAAGTTCTTCTTGTTGCTCTTGATGTCCCTTGCCAGTTTCAGCTCCAGCTGAGCTTTGGCTTTCCCCAAACCATCTCTGTATACCCGGGCAATGTTTCTATATTCCTCCTTTGTAGCCTGTCCTCACTTCCACCTCCTGTATTATGTCCTTTTTCTCATGAGCTCCCTGTTTAGCCAAGCTGGTCTCCTGATACATCTACTAATTTTTCTGAGTATTGGGATGGACTGTTCTTGTGCTTGGAGGAAGTTGTTCTTAAAGACTTGTCGTCTCTTGAGCTCCTTTGCCCTTCAGAGCTGCCTCTCATGGGATCCCACTTACCAGCTTCCTGAAAAAGCAAATTTCTGCTCTACTGAAGGCCAGGATCTGTACTACTTGGTTTCCTCGCTCCGTTCAGGATCTTGAACTTCACTATTTCATGGTTGCTACAACCAAGGCTGCCATTGATTATCATGTCCCCAGAAAGTTCTTCTTTTTTGGTGAGTAGTAGATCCAGCTGTATGTCATCTATGGTTGGCCCATCTAGCATCTGTGTTAAAATTCCTAACACCTTTCAGAAACCTGGATTGCTTTCTTACTAATTACACCTTTTGCTTTTGTGTTTAAACTCACTATTCCACTGCAGCAATCTCTGGTTTTACAACTTACTTGACTCTTATTGAAATGTTAGAATGTTCATTCAACAGTACTTGTGTTTCAGGAGTCCTCCCTCCCCATTTAAGGGCACATGGCATTTTTGTGGAAACAGTGTATTGGTATGTCCAGTGAAAAATATGTTTTGAGGAGGAAGGCCCTAAGGATGTGAACACTTGGTTGAATGCTATAGACAAATCCTCGTTTGAATTATTTTCTGTCAGTTAAGACATGTTAGTGGACTGCATGCACATTCTTAGCTTTCTCAGGTTGCGGTAAAGCACCATTAGCATATGTTACTTGATCTCACATTTGCTTATGAGTCCATACCGTTGCTGTTTCCAATATCAAGATCTTCCAAAGCTGACATAGAAAAGTAAAAACAACTATAAAGTATCTGCAAAAAAAAAAAGCCCTAACACTGATATATAAGTGGGTGATAGCCTTTTAAAAATGTATTTTCAGAGTAGAAAGTTACTTGCTGGGTACTGTGTAAACAATTTTCATAGCATGTCAAAGGACAAAGCTGTCTTTACATGAGAATTGATTTCTGTTTCTTTGATCTTTTTATTGGGTCTTATCTGAAGTGTATTGTTTCAAAGCCATATTCTGTGTCTCAGTGAATTAATTATTTCTTCTTTTTACATCAGCTGGATATATTATGCAATGAAGAGATTCTTGGCAAGGACCACACACTCAAGTTTGTAGTTGTTACTAGATGGAGATTTAAGGTATGACACAACTGCTTTTCATCAAAATTTTCATGTTCCATGTAAATCATTAGCTGACTAAAGAACAAAGTTCATAAAGCATACATCATGCAGGCCTATACTGCAATAACTTCAAAATGGTTAAAATATATATTTTAAAATGTCTAATAAATATCTTTAAAAATATATATTTTTCTTAATTCAAAAGAGAAAAATGGGGGGAAATTTAATATATGCCACTAAGGAAAAGGGGAAGTTGATGGCAGATGTCAATTTGATAGTAATTAAAAATATATAAGGTAAAGGAGGCTGAAGCCATTGGGAGGGACATTTTTCTCAGCCATGTCAGTCAGATACAACTAATTAATATTACTCTGTGTAGATTGTGAAAATGGTTACAATGCAGAAGAGAGAAATATTCAATACATTTGTATTCTGTAGTTTGGAAGAGAGAGGCTGAATATACTCATTAAAGGAGGCGAATGAATTAACTTTGCTCCCCACTTCAGTTCAAGAGACTTGTAGTAATATTTAGTAGGCATAAACAAAGCTGGGGAAAGCAGCTGAGTGGGTCTCTGGGTTACTGATGTTAGTTTCTTTAAACAAAACAAAACCAAAACCCCACACAACAAAACTTAGAGCTGAATAGTAAAAGATGGGGGATTCATATTGAGCATAAATTATCACTGATGATTTATGGCTAAATAAAAAAAATGGCTGTAAGTATCATGAAATGTCAAGTTGAACATCTAGGATACAAGTGACATCCAGAGAATCAGGGTGTGTGCAGTTTGGGAGTGATAACTTTGAAGAGGGGTTAGTGTTCATAATGGACATACAATAGAAGCTCCCAGGATAATAATGTGGTAGAAAGATGTGATACCTTTGGATGCATAAATAGAAGGGATGAATGAGAATAGGTAGGCAATTTTTATCTGTCTGTGATGAAATAATTAATTTCAGATTGGAAAATAGAAGGTAGGAGATTGTGGTCAGTTATGACATATTCATGAATGACCTGGAAAGGAGGTTAAATAGTGAGGTGACACTGGCACCAATAAAGTTATTCAAGACAGTAAAGATAAAGGTTGGTGATGAAAGGTTGCAGGAGGCCTTTACAGTACTGGATGACCAGGTGATAAAATGGTACCTAAAGTTCAATATGGGTAAATGTAGAGATGCATGCTGGGGAAAACATGTATCTGAACATTATATATAAAAATGGTGGGCTCTGAGTTGACTGCCATCAAACAGAAATCAGGTTTTGGGGTTAGACATAAAGATATCGGCTCAGTAATGGTCCAAGAAAAACCCAAATTAAATGCTAGAAATTATTAGGAAAAGAATAGAGAGCTAAACAAGAGCACTGCTGTGCCTCTGTATAAATCCACTATTTACCTGTATCATGAAGATTTGTACAGTCATGAGTGGCATGGAAAAGGCAGCAACTGTAAACTGTCTTATTCGGTGAAAGAGATGAAGGATATCAAGTGAAACTTGTAGGTATGAGGTTTAGAATGAGCAAAAGGAAGTGATTTTGTTGTAAATTCCATTTACCCTGATAGGGGATTGAGTTGGGGGAGACACAGATCACAACCAATATTCATTAATAACAGCTTTTATAAAGCTCTTATTAATAGAATCAAGCTATTATTAATAGCAGATAACTTTATACAGTATATTCATTTATTCCCTCACATACTCAGTCATAGTTACCCAGTTGGAGAAACAGCAGGGAGACCAACCCCAGCTGTGTACTCAGAAGCAGTGTCATACTGACACGCCAGTGGCTTCTAGGTAGGTGTTCAAACAGTCCTTTATGACACTTCTCTCCCTGTTGATACCTAAGTTAAACTTATGGTATTGTCAATTTTCATTCAGTTTACATAATCACAGAATGTTTCATTAGCTGTATAATCATTATAAGCATAAACATTTTGATTCTATACTATTTTATGATTATCACAATTAATAAAACTATCCATTCAAATGTGATTAACCATACAACAGGGTGTCTTAAGAGATATACTGATATTTCCTTAAGCCTTATCCCTTAAAACTTTTTACCTAATATCTCCCCATAACATGTGACAATGATGAAATGTTTCTCATTCCTCATATAATTGTTTAGTTAACCAATATGTTCTCTTTTGTCATAAGTAAGATTACATTTACAGTAGATCTTTCCCAATTCTATTAAACATGTACATTTTACAATATCTTGTTAAGTATCCTAATATAATTGTCACCTAATGTAGCCCCAGTACATGAATAGTGATATTCCTGGTCACTACTGAAAAAGTTAACACGATTGTAACGATCAAACCAGTTTCATCTAGCTTTCACTGTTGATATTAGTGGCTTGATCTGACCCAAAGTTCTCAGCTAGCCTCGCCCCACTTTTGCCCTTCTTGTCTTCTTGTAGGTTCTCTCATAACAGTGATTTTCTCAGATATGTGTCCCAAGGTTATGCAGCTGTGTAGCATCAGAGCTGGGCTTTGGATCCTCGGAACACAGGCAACTAAACAGTTAGGGGAGGGGAGAAGGAGAAATAGCAGAGGAGAAATTACACAGAGTTGTTCACATAATCAGTCATCACATTCATGTATAGACTTCTACTATTCTCTTTCTTTTTTTGCTCTTACAGAAATGCTGGGTTTAGTGATTAAGTTCTGATTATTAGATATAAGTAACCTCCAATACCTGGCATAGATAAGTATCTCACTTCAGTGTTACTTCTATTCTGGTTCAACCATAATATTTCACTATTCATTATATATTATCCTTTTTCAGACCTTGATATATACACATATAACCCACAATTCTCTCAACCTTTAAGTACTGTTAGTATTCCGTTTCCCCTGTTTCAAACCTTTCTTTCTCTTTCCTTTCTTCCTCTTTCCTTTCTTCTTTGATACCTCTCCCAAATTCCTTTTATATTTACACATTTGCTTAAAAGAACATTACTGAAATCAACAATTCTGTCATTAGGTCTGGCTGCTCTATTCAAATTGTTTCTTTAAGTACTATCATGTAAACAAATAAAACTACCAAGGTTCTAAGGTTATTCTAACTTTAGAGCATTTTTCCAAAGCTTCAACTGTGATCCCCCAGCCTGGGTGGACCCAAATCCTGAGTTGTAACACTTAAATCTGATAGAGCTCTAAAAGGAGTCTTAATTCAAGTGCATTAAACTGTTGTTATTACATTAAGTAGTTAGACTGAGCTAAGATGGGTTAGGTCACAGATTAGCTATCCAGCCATGCAAAACTTTTTATTGTAAGAATTACTGGCTACTCCAGTTAAACAGACAAAAATAAAGTTCTAAACAAGCAAAATATAAGTGAGGCCTATATCAAATTTGTGGTCTTGTTAGCAACAGCAATACCATGTTTCCTGGGCTACAAGGTCACTTCTATCCCTGTCCTTTGGTAGTCCATGAATCACAGGTTATTGCTCAATGAGTCCAACAAGGATGCTGCAAACCCTCCTATGGCTCAAGGCTCCTAATCAGGACTGAACAGAGACTCTTCTTGGAGGCATTCACTTTCTCCTATCAGGTCTTGCCTCATGATAATCCATAAAGGTCTGACAGTTCTTCATGGCAGTGTATAGTCAGTACCTGATTTGCTAAATGTCTATGATTAACACAATTTATAAAAATTTATGAAAATTTATAAAAATAAGCAAACTATAGGGTGTAGAGCCAAGTTAAGAATTCCTGCAATTTCAGGAAACCTCTCTCAGTCTGATAGGCACTGGTGCGTACCACTCACTGTAGCTCAAGTCTACTAACTACTACTGAATTAGGTTCTTCTGGCAGGCTGCATATCTTACTCCTTGGTCTTGCCTCAGAGTTTACCATGTTATATTATAACTTTGTCAGCCCTCGCTTGTTGATGGAGTTGTAGTTAAGTCTGTTGACCTGCAAAAATCAAAGCATAAAACAATAATGTTAGTGTAAGCATATAAGTAGATCTATGTGGTGGTTTAACCCCAGCTGGCAACTAAGCACCACACAGCTGCTTGCTCACTTCCCTCTCCCTGGTGAGGTGGGGTAGAGAATC